AACGTATAAAAATATCATTCTTTTACTATGAATAATAAGTGGAATTATTCGGTTGTGCAATACATCAAACTAGAACATCAACAAATATTTGTATAGCCTTATCTAAAGGAATGTGGTTTTCAGCAAAAGCCACCATAATGAAAATTATAAGGTGATTATAATATTCAATATAATATTTTTATATGATTAACCCAGAATGCATTCCTAAATCTAACTTAGTTTCCAATAAACCAGGAGCTGATTAAATGGAACTATAATATTCAACAACCCTTTTATTAAAAGATACTGAGGTTATATTTAGATTTATTATGTTGTAGCGAAAGGCGATACAATGAGCTATATGCACTCTGTCCACCAACGGGAATCGAGCCCCGAATATAAATTTTATATGTCCGTAAGCTAACGCTGATTCATTGGTAGATCACATTTAGGAAAATAACAGATATGACCAGCTAAAGACTACACTTTTGAGATATATAGCCATGCACCAACCAGCCGATGGCAAAGAATGTCTGTGGTGTTCTTAATATTGTCGTCGTTACATCGTTCACATACGATTTATAGTTTTAGGTGAATAAATATAAATTGAAAAATAAATAATTTCAGTTAAGATTGTTCATATTTTAAATTATAAAGAAGAACAAAAGTATCTAATATGTGAAACTGATTTAGGAAAAAACATAAAAACAAATCAAGAATAAACGTACAGCAACAACCTAATTTATGTTATTCTTACCGATATTTCAGACTAAACCAAACAAAGAAATGAGCTACAATTATCATGCAAAGTTTAAATATAACTACTCAACATTGCTTTGTCTATTGAATCTGAGAGAATCAAATTAGTTTTGTGTTAAGGACACAAAAAATACTAGTCTAGAATATTAGAAGTTAAACGTACAGAAATTTACAGATTCTAATGATATTTTAACTGGCTCCTCACGAGCCAGTGGGGAACATTTTTGTTGAAAAAAACAACAACTACCCAATCCGGTTTTTCTTAATTTGGACTGAAATTTCGTGGACATTTTTATTGGCTGAAAAGAAGGCATTTCCCGCACTCTTTTAGCGTTGGGGCTGCAAAAAGTGATTTGAAGTGGTAAAATGACTGAAATCCGTTAGCGCATCACGAATTTAACGGCCAAGCACAAGAAGCATGGAAGTCTCCAAATAACACGCAGAGGTATCCAGGATCCGTTTTGAACTACCTTGGTACATATTGTGCTGCAAGTCGAGT